GGGCGGATGGGGAGGCGGGAGGGCAGGCGAAAGTCCGCGATGGGGCCCGCGCCCCGACCCCTCGGCCGGCGGTGCCTCTCTTTCCATCAGAGGGGCTGAGGGTGCGGCGGAGCTCAGGGCGGGGACGACGGCCCCGCAAGGGCTGTGGGGACCCCAGGGAGGCGAGGCCTGAGTAGAGCCTTCAAGCCGCCAGTCGGTTGGACAGAGGAATCCGGACACCGCAAGGCGCTGCTGCGAATAGAAGCTGGGGAAGCACTCGTTCCGCACCCATCCTGGCCAGGTCCCGCCTGAGCCCTGAGCCTCGTTCGTATCCGAATCTTGGGCTGACCTTTGACCCCACGCGAGTCCTGACCCCAGCTAGCCCTGACCTTCCTGAGCTCTGACCGGACGGAGTACCCGGCCTAGACACCCACACACCCCTTGCCAGGACACTTGGTCAGGAGGGCTGGGTGTAGTGTCTTGTCCTCCAGTCCTCCACCTCTGCAGGGTGACAGCTCCGGGTGAGCGCGGCTTGTCGTGGCGCCTGCCCTGCGGCTGACCAGTCCTCCACCTCTGCAGGGTGACAGCTCCGGGTGAGCGCGCGCGGCTTGTCGTGGCGCCTGCCCTGCGGCTGTGCCTGTGGTCTTCCTGACAGGTGTCCTGGGCAGCCAACAGCTGCAACACCTGGAGCTGTGCCAAGGTGACTTCCTCCCCCAAATGCCCCAACACCTGGTGTCTGGCCTTGTGCCAGCTGACAGGCAGCTGGCCCAGTCTGGGGAAAGGAACACTCCGCGGAGTTGGGGGTGGGGCTGAGGTGCCAAACAGCGCCCGGCAGAGCAGCAGCTCAGAGGGCTGCTCGGGGCTGGGCCTTGGCATGCGCAGCCACAAAGGAAAGCTTCATCTCTCAGGCCCTGTGCCCCGCACCCTGGGGACCCGAGGCAGCCCCTCGCCTGTCAAATGGCTGTTACTTGGCAAGTGGTCCAGGTATTCTGACCCTCGACTGCCCATGGCATCGATGTCATAGCGTTGGCATGTGGCAGCTCGTCAATAAATAGTAATCAATACAGATTCTTGCAGAGGTTTCCAGAGGTCTCTGCCTCCTACCCCTGACACCCTAGGAAGCAGGGGAGCGGGGGTGGGGTTAGTCCTGGGAACACAGTGTGAGGGACCCGGTCTGCGGGCTCTCCAGCCGGCCCACTGGGGCCTCACCCCCCAGGAAGCCCCAGGCAGTGGTGGATGTCTGGGGCTTCTGCCCATTTCCTGGCCACAGCACCTTGGTGTCCCTGTGAGGGTTCCCCATCTGCCAGACACGGGCAGTGACGTACCCTCCTCATCGAGACGAGGCGAGAGTCAAATAAGATGTCACAGGTCTCAAACGTGTCAGCTATTTCTGTCGTCACCGCTACTAGCATCTGACCAGTCGACCTCTTCCTGACAGCTAGGGACACAGGCCCAGGGAGGAACGGCTTGGGCCGGAGACGGAGTCTCCATCTTTCAGGGCGGCCGGCCATGCCGGCCCATGGCCCTGGGCAGGGCCTTCTGGGTCCAGGGCACCTCGCTGGGCGCCCGTGTGCCCTCCACTCCCACGACGCCACGTCCAGGTGCGCCCTGGCACCTGAGACAGCGAGTCTAACCTCCGGGTGGTGGGGGGGCCGTGGCTCAGGGCTGGGGGTGAGAAGCACACACGCACTCCAGGTCAGCTTCCGGTACAGACTTTATTACTGCTGAGAGGGGCCTCTGCAGGTATGCGGGGGGTGGGGTGTCCACTTCCTAGGACCCTTGCCTGCCCCTGGGAGGGGGCTGGAGCATCATTCCGGGTCCCAAGCTGGGTGTGCCCCCTGCACACAGGAACACCCAGTCCTCATCTCAGACCCGCGTTCTGCCCAGGAGCAGGCGAGCCGCCTCGCAGTGTCCCCAGCAGTCTGAGTGGAGGAGGCAGGCGAGGCGTGGGGGTGCTCAGCCCACTGGCTTGACCTTGGCAATGAAGAGGGCCGCAGCTTTCTCCAGGAACTCCTCCCGGGTCATGGGGGAGCTGGGCCGCCGAGCC